CGGCTATGCATGATTATATTAGTATATTAAGAGAAATACCTTCATAAACTTGTGAAGATCCTCATCACTATCCATAGCTGATGACAATGCTTGCCAATCGAGCGAAGTATTTTAAAAAATAAGGGGTTATTTGAAACGTGCAATAGTACATCATCATAGAATAATATATTTTTGTTCTATGCTGCTTTGCAGTTTTTGTTGGACTGTGGACAGTTTGTTCTTACTAGTTTCCAAAATTGGACTTGACTTTAGTTTGCTCTTGGCTTTGTAATTGACAGGAGATTCTTGATTAAAGCAATAAACTACACAGGGCATCACAATGCTTGTGTGATCAGACTATTGTTAGGATACGATGATATTTGCACAATAACCAACAACCAATTTCTTAAGTGTCTGTGAGTGCATGAAAAAACATTTTCTGCTCTCCCCAAAGTTTATTAACATAGAGAGAAACTTAAAAGTTTTACCTTTGCTTTTGCTTATTCACTTTACACAAGTTTTTCACCTGAGATCACAAAAGTAAACATTTCTTACTTTTGCTTCAGGGTATAACAAGGTTGATGAAAATCTATCGACTCTTCACTTGTTATGTAGCTGTGACGAAACAAAGGTTAATCATAAAAGTGAAAAATCATTTTATATTGTGTTAAAAAAATAAATCAGGTAAGGAAAGAGTTATTCAAAAGATATAAAGTAAGAATAAGAATTAGAGAAAAATAATTGTTATTTTTCAGGACTACCCTACACTGCCAATCACATTTGACATACCACTAAATTCAGTTTTCAGTTTTTTACAACAAATTGAACAATCGAGTTTCCTAACTTAAATTTATAGTCACTTTGAAATGTAGCCTTTGCAAGCAAGTCCATCAGAGCTTCATTTTGTTTGTGAATCAAGTTCATCATTTCCAACTGCTGTTTGTGTGTTTGACTCGCTGATCCAGCATCATTTACTGCTCTTTCCTCTTCAACTCAATTTCCTCCTTCCTTAGCTCCTTCTCTTCTTGAAACTTTTCCTTCAGGTATTCAACAGCATCTGAACTTCTCTTCCTGTATTTACTAGACTTTTCTTCTCCTAAATCTGCATTTCTTTTCTGTGTCTTACTAAGACGTTCCATGACTTGCAGCCTAACCTCTTCTGCACTTGTCTTCTCACTCTTATTTTTCTTGTTAACAGCACTAGTCTTGTCATTTCTCTCCAGGTCAGCAGCCCTTTCCTTTTCAGCTATTTCTTCTAGTGCTGCATCAAGCTGGGTTTCTTGACAGTCTATACCTGATGCCCTTTCTTCTTCTCTTATTTTCTCCTTATATTTACTTTGCATCAGGGTTAATCTATCTCTTACAGATCTTTTCAACACTGTAAATTTTTGACTTCTCGGACTGTTCAGATTAACAGCTATTCGCCCCCAAATTTCACCTCGTTCCTTGCTGCGTTTAGGATATTTGAATGGCTCAAACACTAACACTTCTCCATAAAGGGCAAGGTCATGACTTTCTAACCATTCCATAGAGTAATTGGTGGGAAGGGAAACAGTGATCAAAATTAAATAACAACAACCTTTTAAACTACAGTCCAATTTTTATTTTTGTTTGTATATTGGTCACAAGGATTAGATAGCTAGTACAACAGTAATCCCGTTTTAAAGAAGCTGAAAAATTGGAAGTTGAATTTCGAGGACATAAATTTCAAACTTTCTTGAGGAAGCATGGCCCTGAACCCACAGATAATTTTGCATTTAATAGTGCTTACTTGTTCAAACGCCCATTCTTTAATTCATACATCTGCTTCAAATTTTAAAATTGCGCACAAATGTTGCGAATTCTGAGGTATGAGAAGCTGGGACACTTGAGATGTCCTTATTATACAAACTACAGAAATATTAGTTTACATTTCGACTGCTTCTCGTAATGTATGGAATTTTGAAGAATATGAAACGATTTCGCGGACTAATTCTGACCATGATAGCCACAGCTGCCCTCTCTTTTTGTGATACAGATTAACTTAACCTTCCTAAAAAAATGTATGAGGACTTGAAAGTCCACCTTACTTTAAGCAGTCTTTCACTTATCGCCTGTCCGCTCGGCAATTTCCCGCGTAAGAGTGCATTCAAAACAGCTATGTTTTCATTTGCAAACTGGGGATTCAGGCATTAATGGAGAGTCATAAAGCAAGTTTTTTTCACGAACAGATATACCTGGAAAATTTCCAGTTCACTAAATACTCTAAGCTTCACGGTAATCGTCGCCTTAACAAATCTATTACAACTCTTGAAACCTACCCAGTTTCAGCCGCCATTCTTAAAGAAGTGCCTACAAAAAGAAACAAAAATAAAGCGATTTACAAAACGTTACGGCGAAAAATATGATCAAAAAAATATTTCTATCTAATTTAGATGGCATATTCCTAAATCGTTTCGGTTTTCTGGGGACGAAAACTTTCAAACGGAGAAAAAATAGCCCAATGAATATTCACGTTAACTAGTCGACGTAGAAATACACGATTTCACGTTGTGAACTTCCAGTGGACAACGAGTGGTGGACAGTGGAGTGGCGTCGTGACATGCGCACTACCCTTGGATAATGGAAAATTACTTCCGATTCGTCGTCGTCGTCGTCTTCCTCGTTGTCCTTGCTTAAGGTCCCTAATATTGATTCCTCACTTTAGAACAAACATAGGGGAGTTTTGCCCCACTGTTATTGGTACATTGCATAACCAAAGAAATAACGCCTTCCATCTGCTTAACATTCTACACATTCGAACGGTAAATGTGTATTAACACAATAATTTAAAGGTTTTGCATCTATAGTACAAAGATCTGCTCAGGTGGATACCTTCCAGTTTTCAATATGCAAGTAGTATTCATGGGCACAGGACCGATATGCATCCCAACAAAATTTACGTAAATCTTAAGTGTGCAATAACTCTGGCAAACAAACAGTTGTCTATTCAGGAACTAATCTTTATGACAAAATCTTACTAGACTTATAACTTAAAATCTTCAATTTCTTTGTGCAACACTCAAGACATTTGCCTTAATATCTACCTTATCATTATCGTCATTACTATTACCATCATTATTATCATTATAACTATTTTCTTAAAGTGTAGTTCTATTCTCCCTCATTTGTGTTATTTAAGCAACTTAAGCAAACTGGAAGCCGACTTGAAAACTTAGCAGCTATTTAGCTTCCAGCTTCTTCATTTGTGCTTTTTCTCAGTGTTCTAAGTAATTTGTATTTGAAATTTGTAATATGTAAAATATTACACATCATGAATAACAAAAATGGTCACTGAGTCACCAGGAACTGAGACCAATAATTTCAAGCCTCAAATACAACTACCGGTCAGAAAAAGGAAAGAAAAATTTGCTTCATACGCAATCTAGGCACCATCTATGAAAGTTAGTAAATTAAATTAACTAAGTGAAAAATAGCTTTGTAAAAGTGAACAAAGAGAATTAGATACTGTGTGCCACACATCATCAGTCATGTATATATCCTTTGGAGATTTAAGAGATGGGCATGGTTGTAGTATTGATAAACAAATTTAATGAAAAGTTTTTGCATCTATGGCACTAAGGCCTGCGTAAGTGGATCCCTTCCAAAATCATTTTCAATATGCAAGTAGTATTTATGGATACAACACCAGATATGCTTCCCAACAAAATTTATGTAAACCTTAAGAGCGCTTGTCTGTAAAAATCAGACAAATCCTAAATTTCGCGGCAAGGGTGAAAAATTCGATTTCTTTCATATTTTAATATTAGATAGGCTAGACTATAACTAAAATCAATGGATGCTTTTTTTGGCAAAATATATTTTTATTTCAGAGAAAAATACAAATAACAAAATTCCGTTAAAATCGTCATTTTTAGCAGCAAATTATTGCACAAGTTTGAGGGCTTGGAAAAAAGCTTGGAAAATTTGACTTTCAGGTGATTTGAGATAATTTAAGTTTCTATACTTAATGACTGCCTAACTGGTGAAAAAAAATGCTATCTCCCATGAAGAGTATATTCAGTGCTTAAAAAGCATCCTTTGGCGCATGTAAATTTATTGAATTTTGGACTAAAAGACCAACATTAACATTTGAAGTTCATCTGATAGGAGTTGTCAAAGAATAATAATAATTTATTAAAGTTCTATTGCACAAATATCAGCTAAAATTTTCACTTGCGCATTACAGTATCATTAGAGTGATTTAGCAAGAGGAGGGGAACGTCATTTCAGAACTTATGAAGAAAAACGAATAGTGCTGAAATCTAGTAACACGAAACGAAATGACAGCGACACAAGTCATAGAAAAAAAAAAACTATCTGGTGGGCTTCAAAATTTGATAGATGAATCAGCAGACTCGAGACGAAACTGAAATGGACTAGTTTCAAAGTTTAATCGCCCATGTGGGTTCATAGTTAACAACTTACTTGCCGTATCTATAACTATCCTCTGTTTGCGCTTCTTATATAACTCTCAAAGAAGGTAATTTCGTTGTCCTTAGAGTGGTCTATAAAACCGAAAATTCAAAGGTGGTGATGATCTTTAGAAAGCCGGGGTGATGATTCTCATTGCAACGGCTGCTAAATTACCAGGGACTTTAAGAACCTAGAACGCGGTGGTCTGGAAAACGTGAGGACCGAGAGTGGGGCTGGAGCGAGCACTGCGTTCTAAGCGTGGGAAATATGTAGTTAAGATCAACAACGTGATCATTTAGACTAGTAGTTATGGTCTGGAAAACAGTGAAAACACTTTTCAACTTTCCCTACAAGAATGGCTCAAAACTCATTTAAGACTTTACAGGAAGCTTGGCTCCTTTCTCTGGAAGAAAAGCTAATAGATGACGAAGAATTTGCCATGCTGTATGAAGAATTCACTCCCCAAAACCTTCCGTTTCGCCACTGGATTATGAAAATTTTCCCTCGAAAACAAAGACCCCGCAGAGTGTAAGGCAGACTTCAGATTTGAAAAGAGTGACATCTCATCGTTGGTGAATGTTTTACAGATGCCCGATACCTTTACATGCCCGAATGGTACCATTTGTGATTCAACAGAAGGACTTTGTGTTATACTAAAGCGTTTTGGCTATCCATGTAAGTTGTCTGATATGATTTCTACTTTTGGTCGATCAGTACCCGAGCTCAGCATGATTAGCAATGAAGTTACTGAATGGATGTACAATGCTCATGGCCACAGGATTACCGAATGGAATCATTTCATTATGCCTCCTAATCTACTGCAAACTTACTCTGTAGCAATTCATGACAAAGGTGCCGCCTTGGACAACTGTTTCGGCTTTGTTGATGGAATGGTTTGTCCCATATCAAAACCAGGAGTCAACCAGAGAGCTGTTTATAGTGGCCACAAGCGTGTTCACGCTCTTAAATTTCAATCCTTGGCCCTACCAAATGGACTGACTGGCAATCTGTTTGGACCAGTAGGTAACAGTATATTCATTCATCTTTTATAGTGGGATAGTGCCGTAGCTGTTTTCACTTGGATAGACATTTTTATCACATGTGAACTTAAAAGTTAGATTGATTTCTTTACTCACAATGTTAAGCTGACGTTTCTTGATGACTTCCTCAAGGTCTTTCAAATTAGAGGTATTTTCAGTAGCTTCCACTCCCAATCGTTATTAGAGGAACTGGTTTTCCTGTCCCCACAGACCATTAAATTCTAAATTCTGACTTATAGGCCATAAGTACCTGGGCTGCAAGAATAATAGGCAGCCAATCCTATGTTGTTTTTGGCCTACTCACTTACTAAGCTAATCAATGGTCTACATAGGTAACAGTTTGTCAGCCAACCAATGTGTAACTGATTCTGGCTCAGAAATTATTTTTTTGCTCTTGTGCAGAGGGACGAATGCATGATGTAAGAATGCTGGACACATCTGGCCTCTATGTTTACCTGGCACAGTTTGCCTTTTCCCCTGCTGGACAGGAGATGTGTATCTACGGGGATCTGGCATATCCTCTACGCACCCATCAGTAGTGCCCCTTCAGATATGGGGTGTTAACAAGACAAATGGAAGAGTTTAATGCATCTATGAGTTCTGTACGTACAAGTGTGGAATGGTTGTTTGGAGACCTTATGAATTATTTCAAGTTTCTCGATTACAAAAATCTCAAAATTGGCCTTAGCCATGTAGGAAAAATATACATTATTTGTGCACTTTTGCAGAATGCTTTAACATGTCTTCACCGTAATACAACTGCTGACCACTTCGTCCTTGACCCACCACCACTAATCGATTACTTTAGCTAAAATACTGTAACAAAAACACCTGTCAATGCCTAAGTTTGCATAAAATCTTGCATAAAATCCTGATTGAACAGTTTTTGTGGGAATGTTACGACAGGCAGATCTAAACAAAGGAGTGGCAAATAATACTTTGAGTACAACATTTTGTGAAAATGTAAATCTTAAACATGTAAACATCAACAAATAAAAATTTAATGTCTACTTGTTAAGCATTTTACTCATGATGCCCATGACCTGCTGCATTATGAGCATTTTTTGCTGCTGGAATTGTTGCTGTTGATTTTGCAGTTGTTGCTGCTGGAACTGCCGCTGTTGTTGCTGGTGCATTAGCCTCAGCATATCAGCCTGTTGTTGTTGCACTTGAAGTTGTTGTTCCTGTCTTCCGTTTTCCAGCTCAAGTTCCCTTTCTAATTTCTGCACAGCTCTGTGCTCTTTCCTTTAGAAACTCCATGGCATCTCCAGTTTTTCCTCTTGTTCGTTTTGGTTTGTTCTCACCCTCTTCGGCTCCCTCTAAAGCCCTTTTTTTCCTTTGGGAAAGCCTTTCCATAGCTTTCATTCTTGCATCTTCTGCTTTACCTTTGTCAGCTTTATCCCTACCACATGTATCTGTGGGAGAACTCTCTTCAAGTGCAATAATTTTCTGTATTAGGTCATCTAATTCACTTGGCTCATTTGGGGATATTCCTGATGCTCTTTCTTCAACTCTAATTTTTTTCTTGTACTTGTTTACCAAGACATTGATGTGGTACCAGATGGCTCTGTGGTCAACATTAAATTGTGGGTAATCACATTTGTTTAGAACATCTACAATTTTCTTCCAAGCTTCACTGCGCTTGGGAGACCCCTTTTTGTATACGTAGGGATTTTCAAACCCTACTTCTCTGCACAGTATAATATTTTGCTGTTCAGTCCAGTACATTGCATTGCTATGTGACGACAAAAACAAAGAGAATATTAGAATAAAATTCACTCCAAAAAAACCCTTTCTTTTGAATTGAAACTAAATGCTGTTAATCTCAAAGCTAATTTTTATGCTTGTTCAAAAAAGTGAGATTTTACTTTAATGACATTTAAAGCTCACAAATCTAAAGAGTGGCCTTGCTGAGTGAAAGAGACCTCACCCATAACTTTACACTTTCAGGATTAACAGCAGTGGAATAATACATTCAAAGCCTGACTGAAGATTCACATCATCAAAACGTCCTATGAGATAGGCAACAACATCTAACTTCAAATAAAATCTCTTTTTAGTTCTGATTTTTCTTGTTTTGTTTTCAGTTCAGAGTATTATGTAAAACTTAGCTCGTTAATAACAATTTCAAAGAAATAAAAAATGGAAATAACACAATGGCAGAAATGTCAGTCTTACCTTTTGAAATGCTACGCTTTATGACAGTAGTCAAGGTAAAGAACTAATTAAACGGTATCCGGTCACTTCGTTCCATGACCACTTCGTTCCAAACCACTTCGTTCCATCCTTTGGTCACTTCGTTCCACCATTGTTATAGAACTCAGTCTATAAAACTTGTGAAGTACCTGCCGTGTGCGTGGAATCTGGGACTACCGGAAACAACTATACGTATACACGTTGATCATAGCAACCAGACCAAAGTAAACCTTGATTTCATTATTTCAACATCGCTTTACTTTTTTATCAGACTTGAGTAAAGATGAACCTGCTTGTTATTACTAAGGTGTTGTTCCCTCATAGGTCCGCCACAACTTGTAATAAAAATGTGCGATAACGGAAACAATAGGCAACAACGTTAATTAGTTTTATTGTTTAGTGTGCTTTGTACAGCTTTGTCAGAAAAATGATGGCCCTGCCGTTCTTACCAGAACGAGAAATACGTCCAATGTTCGAAGCACTACGCAATGAGGCGTCGGGAACACTAATCGACTTTGCCGAATACGTATCCAGCACTTGGATCAACGGCAGCACACCTGGGCTCTAACGAACAACGACGTGGAAACGAACAACGACGTGGAAGGTTGGCACAATGGCCTAAATCGCCGAGCTTCTGGAAGAGCACAACTGCCCATGTACCTCCTAATCCAGCTTCTTTACAGGGAAGCGAAACTGACAGCGATCCAGATCCGCCTGGTATCAGAGAGGAAGCTGCGATGAATCCAGCGACGAAAGTATAGGGAGCTACAGCAGAGAATATTTGAGCTGTGGGACCAGTACGAGGCCGGGGAAAGGTCAGCCAGACGACTACTGAAGGCCTGCTCTTATCTTAATGGACCAGTAGAATTGTAAAAATAAGTTAATAAAGTATACCAAACAAAAATAAACGGCTCCTTTAGGAGCCACTATATAAATGAAAGCAATGACCAACAGGAGAAACCTACGTAAAGTAGATAATTAATAACAATTACTTACATAAACAATGAAAATGCGAACGCGCGAAAGACTGAGTTCTATAACAATGGTGGAACGAAGTGACCAAAGGATGGAACGAAGTGGTTTAGAACGAAGTGGTCATGGAACGAAGTGGCCAAAGGATGGAACGAAGTGGTTTGGAACGAAGTGGTCATGGAACGAAGTGGCCGTAATTCAATTAAATCAATGTTTCCTCTTATAGTCAGTATAGTGGGCGATTTTTGAAAGTTAGCTTTAAGGCTTTGCTTTGCCTAGTTGAGTTTTAATCACACTCAATATCAGGAAATTCAATTTCAGATCATCATGAATTATCAAACCTGGAGCTAGTAGAGACTCAACTGATAAACAGAATAGTCTTACATAAATTATTTATCAAGCTAAAATCGATCGTCTGCTCGACGCCATTCTCTTCACCATGAGCTTGCTCACCTTGAGGGAAGAAAATGTTTTAAACCCTTCAACTTTGTCCTTCTAGTTTCAAAAATGATGCCTAACCCATGAAGAGGCAATAAGTTTTAAATTCTAATTAACAGAATAGTTGTGATAGACGGTTAATTATAGTGTTTTTCTTTAAATAACAAGGCTAATTACTCATGTTTTCCAGACGACGCCAAATCTCTTCAGGCCGCATTCTCGAGAGCGGGAGAATATGCCACGCGCATGTGCTCTTCATCTGAAATTAGAAAAATCACTTCTGGTCGTGTCTCCGACCAACCGCGTCCTCGGTTCTTAAAGTCCCTACTTTTCAACACAACGCGACGGCGTTCTCGACATTTTTTAATGCGTGCGCCGTTCTGAAATGACGTTCCCGTCCTCTTGCAAAACCACTCTAGTATATATCTATATACAAGTTAAAAATAATACACGTAAAACTAAAAATAAGACAAAAATGGAATAACAATAACAATGATATAATAAATTAATAATCGAATCTAAAAATTAAAACAAGAAATCACAACTTTCATGCTAAAGACGCCTATTTTAATAAGCAAGTCTTTATTACTTTTTTTAATTGATGAATGTCAGTGGTGTTTCTTATACTCTCTGGTAGGGCATTCCAGAATCTCAAGGCAGCCCCACTGAAAGACCTGTCACCAGTGTGGTGAGCGATTTTATAGAACAATAAGTACACATTGTTTGCGCAAAATGCTTTAAAGTTGGAATCCACTGTTCTGAAAACAGTAACAATTGAAAACATGGTGATGCAAATGCCTTTCTTCATTTTGCGGTAAAAGTGAAGAACAGTTCCCAAAAGATTCTGTTGGGTATCTGTCAGCCAACTGTTGGCTGATGGTTGACCAACTGTCAGCCAACAGTTGGCTGACCGTCAGCCAACTGTTGGTTCACCGTCGGCCAAAAGTTGGCCAACAGATGACTGACAGTTTTCGTTATTTTGTAGACTAAAGTGTTGGCCGACAGTTGGCCAACAGTCAGCCGTCTGTTGGTAACCTGTCGGTGACCTGTCAGCAATGTGTTGGTTAATCGTGTGCTGAAATGATTGCAAACACTTACTTATTTATTGCTTCAACAACTATGTCGGAACGGGAAAAATTAATTGCAAAGAGATAATTAGTATGGATATTGCCTACCTTGCTTGCGTTGGCTGGCGAAACATGCCCATATTGGTTCAATTTCATTTGTCCACCATATTGAAACCTTTTTCCTAGTTTCCAATCCCCTAAATAAAATTTTGATGTCCTGCCTGCAAAACACCGTTAATAAAGTTTTTATTTGTTTCGAAGTTTACTCTGTTGGTTCATTAACTTTTGTAAAGTTGGTGGCTCCTAAAGGAGCCGTTTTTTTATTTTTGAGCTGGATTACATCCCTACTCGTAGATCCTTGGATCAAAGGTCAGTGGAGGTAATCTGCCCTCCCTCAGCATGGTATTCAGCATTGGTAAATACCATTGCAGATGTCTGTGACATGCCAACTCCAACTGCTTGACTGAACCAGTGTGTTTGTGGGTGACATGCTTGTGCTCCCTGGCATCGACGATCTTTAACTTCGCAATTGCGACAAAATCACGGATGGTGCTGTGGGGGCATCTTGCTGGCCGGAACGCATTGGCCATAAGGCACTGCTCTTCGTTAAGGATGCTGAGTACTTTGGTGTACCATTCATGGATGTTGTCAAGGTTGTGAGTGCTGACCCAATGGGTTGTGTGTTCCCCACGTTCCTCGTCTACTGCTTTAGCCTTATTTGCTTGTTAGCTACGGATTTCCTCCTCCATGGCTGAAACGCAGTTTCTTGCCTCAACCAGGGAGTTTTTGAGCTCTTCAATGACTTTCTCCTTAGTTTTGACAAGGTCAACTAGTTCCTGGGAATCGTTGTTCAACTCTTCGATTTCTCGATTTTCCTCATGCTGTGTGGCGTGCCTCGAAAGCCTTTCCGACTCGTTCATGGCGTCGGACAAGCTTAAAATACAGCTTCCTGTTGTCTGGCTCTGGCTCGTCGCTTTGCGATGGTGTGTGGCGGGATTTCTGAATGGTCCGTTTCTTTTGCAGAGGAGGCCGAGATGGCAATTGCACTTTCTTTTGTTGCCACTGCAGCAGACAAAATCTGCAATATCTACTCCATGAAGATCTTAAACGGTAACTTCATGCTGGGTGGCCAAGGGAAAAAAGTGGAAATTGATGAGTTAATGTTTGGCAACAAGCGAAAGTACAACTGTGGACACGTTTTTGAGGGCCAGTGGGTATTTGGAATGGTAGTGCGAGATACTGGGCAAAGTCTACTTTTTCGTGTTCCAGATCACCAACAAGAGACCTTGGTAACCCGAGTACTGCACGAGTTCAATGAACCTGGCACCGTGATCATTTCTGACAAGCTCTCGCCAACCACATGCAGGGACTCTGCAGTCAAGTGAAAAGGAAGCTGAAGTCGATAAATGGGACCATGAGAGCCAAACTACCAGGTTACCTTGACGAGTTCAACTGAAGTAAACTTCATCCAGAGGCAAACCAGGGAGACAGACTCAATTACGTGTCCCACATAGCAAAGATTGTCTCACCGAACTAAGTTCATTTAGTTCAGGCCTAAAGAAACGGCTCCTCTAAGAGCCACAAAATAAAATAAAAGTCAATGACCAACGTGTTCAGGTCTTTTATAAATAAAATAAAATGAAGTCTAATAAAACGCCAAAAAAGTTATACTTTAATATTTTAATTGTCACAATACGCCAAAAAGGACGATGATCGCAACCTGTTACAAGAAAAAAAAGGTTAATCAGACATACTTGAAGTATTGTAAACTATGTGTTCGCAATGCATTATAGGGCGATTGAAAAACTTCCTTTTTGCTTACAAACGGACAAGCCTATTTAGTGTAAAAGAACAAGTTAGGAAGTAGGTAAATACAAAAATTGGTACATACAGTCTGGTTAACACTGTTGACCGGCTGTCGGTAATGTGTTGGTAATGAGTCAGTATCCTGTCGGCCAAAGGTTGGTCAACAGATTACCGACAGCTCAACGTGGGAGTTATTGTTCACTTTTACCCATTCTGTAATCTTCTCTAAGTCTGGACCATAACACTCTA